TCGTTCTAGTTTACCATTATATTAGCTGCAATATCTCAGGCTTGATCCATGCCCACATATTGCTATCTTTTTAGAGTTCACAGAGTTTCTAGGGTTTATTTTTTGTATTTATTGTTATCTTCACTGTGGGTACAAGTGGTTAGCTTGTGTAAAGTTCACTATGTAGTTGTTTCAATATTGGCTATAGGAGTAACACCTGAGTTCTTACTTTATTTTAGCAACTAGACATATGTCATCATGTGGAACACATTCTTCATATTCAAAATTTAAGGAAAAAAAAGTTGTTGAGCAAACTACTTGAAAGCCTGTTGGCACTTGAAGCTTGAACAGTACCGTATATGGAAGAGTCTTCCAACTGTTCCACTTTACCCACACCCAGCAGTGTAGTAAACACAGAGGCTTACAGGAAGAATGTTTGGTGACATTGACAATTACTACTTGTCAGGTTAAACATTCTAATACTAAAAGCTTTCCAGGATATGAGCCTGAAAGATTTTACTTTGCTTACAGAATTCGTGAAAAAAATGCAAAGGAAGAAGTGAAAACTCAGGAACATATGGAAAGAAGGATACAAGCTGTGCTTTCCCTGAAAACCAGCCTAACTTCCAATAGGGTACTGCTGCTGCCGTGGCTTAGGGAATGAAGAGATTGACTTGTTAGACTGCTAGGGTTTAATGCAAGTAATTTCAGTTTTCCTGGCAGAATTGCTGTGTGATGCTGTCAGATCACCAACCAGATCAAAGTGGGGAGAATTTAACTATAGGATTAATGGTGTTTGTTAGATTTGTATGGGCAGATTTTGACACTTCCACTTATGGAGTTTATTCTGTCAACAATCTAATGGTTCTGGTAGGGTAGCTCCCTTGCTAATGATGCATAACACAAATAAGGTCTCTGAAAACTCAGCCAGAAGCATTTTCAGGTATTTGGATCCCAATGCAGAAATGCTTCATGTGGAGAAAACATATGGAAGCAAAACAGTTACTTAAGAAATTCAATAATGTAAATTAAGAATTTCTGTGGTCTTCTGCTTTGCTGTTCTACTTATGTTCTGTAGAATCTGAGGGAATGATCTTAATTTAATACTGGTTTGATTAGAACTGTATCTTTGTATCTTTTCACATTGCTTCCTTGAGTAGCATTTCAAGGGCAGGCTAGAAGGATATTGAAGTAGCCCTGACCTCATTAGAGCTTTCTGCATCTCAGCACATCATGACTGCTGTGCATGTAAAAACCAGTAAGTTCTAGTTCAGAGAAATCTACCACAAATTTACACTTGGGTAAGGGCACCAACATTAGATTTTCTTTTTTTATATTCTTTAGCATGCAACTCAAATATGTAACTGGTTTGTGTGGCTTCATAGGAAAAACTCCAAGCTCTCCAGGCTTGGAACAAAGCAAAGGCCTTAGAGGCAGAGAAGCAGGAGATGAAAATGAGGGAAGCTATCCTAGTGGAAGGAGGCAATGTTGCCAAGGAAATTTTTCTTCATAAACAACTGCTAAAGCATGAAAAAGAGAAACAGTAAGTATTCATATCTGTGTCAAAGCCTCAGCTGCTTACTGATGCTCGTGCAGGAATATAGCGGAGCTCTTGGCCACATTCTGAAAACGTGAACATCTAGGATGCAGTCTCAAGGGAGTGAACTCATGCACTGTATGTGTGATATTTGTAGAGTCTGTTTTAAAGTGATTTAAACTTTGAGCTTAGGTGTATTATTCAGAGAACTAAAGTTAAGAGCCCATGTTCCATGAGTAGTGCAAAGAAGATAAACTGCTCCAGGAGGGAAACTCAAGGAACCTAAACTGGATGCCTGAAGTAACTGTACTCTCCTTTGTGCTTCTTCTGATTGGAATTACTCCTCTGCCTTTGTAGCAAAGTTGATAGGAATGTACCTGTATCTCACCTTAGTTATTGTTTTTAACTACTTAAGATGAAAAATTTGAGCTAAAATACTAAACAGGATGGCTGAGGTATGTGTTTCTGCATGCTGGATAGCCTACAAGGGCAGTAATCTGTAGCAAATGTTAGAAATTTAATGAGTAAAGGTTCAATAAGTTTTGATTAAATAAATCTTTCAATAAGTTTTGATTAAATAAATCTTAGCACTTAACAGCTGCATAACACCATTTCTGCCATCCCTAAATATGTTCTAAAAATCATGTTAATAGAAGAGTCATGTCAGTTTGTAGAGATCTGCTGGAAATATCCAACTCTACATTCAATCTCTTCCACCTTGCTTGCTTTCTCCCTTTCCCTGTTTCCCTTTGCAGATCAGGGAAGATGACAATTTGTTAGTTTTATTTGTTAGCTGTGTCGTGTTTCTCACAGCAGATCTTTTCTAATTTCATCTACCGTCCTGCTAATCTGCTGAGGAACTGCTTAGTTATTTCTCCCAGGGCTCTGCCTTTCTCCTTTTCTGTGAAGGGATATTCTCAGTGTTCTCTATTTCAGCCTCAGTATGTATTTCTGAATTATCTGCAAAAGGAAGTAACTTTTTAGTCCACAAAAATGTAAAAATAGCCTCTAAATCGCCTAGTGTCTTGACACAAATTATCACTGCATCCAATTTAAAGACTTTCTTCTTAGCTTAAAGACTCAAAAGAAACTGGACTGTAGTTGCTATCAGTAAACAACCACAGTCGGTTTACTATTTCTTCCAACATTGGATTACAGAGCTTTTAGAGAACGGCAAAGATCAAGAAAAATTGAGATTGTTTCTCGAATTCTGCGAGAAAAAGCTTCTATTCACAAGCAGAGAAAGAGCCAATCCTGCACTAAGGCACTAAAGGGTGGCTGTAAACCTGAGGAC